AATAATCATATATAGGATTGGGTTCACGTGAGACCAAGGGTTTTTCGTGAGACCCGTAAGACCAATTTATGTTTATTGATCAACTTTATAAGCTAATGATCTAATAGTCTAAAGTGACAATTTTGTGATTATTGAGAAGTCTCGTGGCAATTTTGTGATTATGAATGTTCAGATTGTAGATCTAATCCAAGGGTTGAGAATTGCTCTTACGGGTCTCACGAAAAACCTTTGGTCTCACATGATCTCAAGTCATCATATATGTATAATATTATTTTTTTCTTAAATAGTTCTTTTAATATGAATATTCTGGAGTACGTTAAAAAAGAACTCTTTATTTATGGTGAAATTTTTGTGGTTTATATTTGTTTAAAATGCTGATCTGAAAACCAGTAGTTCTTCTTAATCTTAGAATGGATATATTTATGTGATAAACGATCACATTTTTTTTTTTGGAAAATTCTCTGCTTTATTTAGTAATAAATATACTTACGAATCTTTTAATCAAGTAATTGGTCTATTTCATAGGAATACCACTTGTTTAAATATTTATTATGAGATCAAATCTGATTGGTTGATTCTATTTCTTCATTTTTGTGGGACTAATTTATACAATGTAATGTGGGATGAATGTTTCGTCTTCCACCAAACAAACAAATCAAATCGAATCATTTACATTCACTAAAATTCAAGGATGGAACAAGTGAAAGTCAATCATAAGACACATTCATGTGAACATGTGGCTATATAAAAAGACCGACCAACCAACCAATGACAACCGTCGATCACCCGACAGCTTTTTTGATATATTAATTGGACGAGTTAGCTTGGTTTCAGTGAAACTGAATGGTTAACCGTAGTTGCTTCGATTGTTTAAATTAATGAGGCGATGAGATATCTGGAGACGATAACACATTTTCATATTAGAAGAAAGTAGTTGTTTTTAACCATCATTTTTCGTTGAAACGTGGCTAACTGTTTGTCTGTTACTGTGATTCATAGGTGACACAATCCCAAACCTTTTTAGGGTGTTATTATATGCTCATTTTAATCAATATATATCTTTAAAATATAAAAATATTATTTTAATATTGACATATAGGGTTGGGTTCACGTGAGACCAAAGATTTTTCATGAGATCCCTAAGACCAATTTATGTTCATTGATCAACTTTATATGTTAATGATCTAATGGTTTAATGTTGTATGGTGGCAATTTTGTAATTACGAATGTTCAGATTGTAGATCTAATTCAAGGGTTGAGAATTGGTTTTATTAATCTCACGAAAAACTCTTGGTCTCATATGATCCCAAAGTCTTGACACATATATGTATGAAAAAAGAAACAAAAAATATTTAAATAACAATTAATAAAGGATGCATTTAGAATTAATGATGCAAATGATAATGTCAATGCATTAAAAAGAGTGGAATCGTTATATTATAAACTCTTATATGATATATGGATGTGATGAAACATAAACAATTTGGTGGGTCAAAATCTAATTGATATATTAAAAACACCCATTAATTGGTATTTGTCGTTGGTTGGCATGAATACAGGTAATAATTATGATTGACTTTCATTTGATATTTTGTTATTTTTTTTCATAGATTGATATGTTTAACGTTGAACTTTAAAATATTTGTTTGTTTCACGTGAATGTGACGATGAATTCACATATGTAATTGATTGACTATTATGGATATTATGAGTACGAATATAATATGATAAAATAGTTATGTATTTTTCGGCTTTTTAATTGAATACTAAAGATATATATAGACTTGGGACCATGTGAGACCAAATGTTTTTCGTGAGACCCGTAAAATCAATTCTCAACCCTTGGATTAGATCTACAATCTGAACATTCATAATCACAAAATTGCCACGAGACTTCTCAATAATCACAAAATTGTCACTTTAGACTATTAGATCATTAGCTTATAAAGTTGATCAATGAACATAAATTGGTCTTACAGGTTTCACGAAAAACTTTGGTCTCACATGATCCCAAGTCTCTCTCTCTCTCTCTCTCCATATATATATATATATATATATATATATATATATATCACGCGATCCTGTTTTCGTGAGACCCATGAAACCAGCTTTTTACACTTGAAACTTCACAGCAAAATGCTATGAAGGTAACCTTCACAGTGTTTTTACTGTGAAGGTTCGACTTTTTAAAACCTTCACAGTGTTTTTGTTGTGAAGTTTCAAGTGTAAAAATGTGGTCTCACGGGTCTCACGAAAACAGTCTGGTCTCACTTGAACCCAACCCTATATATATATATATATATATAGGGTTGGGTTCATATGAGACCAAGGGTTTTTTTGTGAGAACCGTAAGACCAATTTATTTTTATTGATCAACTTTATAAGCTAATGATCTAATAGTTTAAAGTTGCACGGTGTCAATTTTATGATTATGAATGTTCATGTTATAGATCTAATCCAAGAGTTGATAATTGGTCTTAGGGTCTCACGAAAAACTCTCGGTCTCACATGATCCCAAGTTTATATATATATATATATATATATATATATATATGTATCATGTGATAATAACGTACACTAAATTTTTGTAACCATGTGTCGGGGTCAGTTTGTGTGTACCTCAATTAATTTTTTTAAAGATTGTCACACGCTATTTCGAGATTAATTGTGGGAAATTGTGACTATAAGAAATCAGCTATGATAAACTTATGGCCCCTAAAATTAATAGTGAGGCAAACCCTTTGATGACCATGTTGATGCTTAACTGATGACATGTATGGAGAAAAAGAACAAGGTCTTACCACTATTTCAACTTATTTCACAATTCTTCTAATCTAACAAAGATAAAAGAAATGACTGAATTGGTGACTTATATGATTCGATAATATATCCTTATATCCATTTCACTTAAAGTTAATTTTTTAAAATAGCGCACAAGAATTAAGAGAGAGAAATAAACAATATACATGACTTAAATTTTAATAGAAACTGAGAAGAAAAAACTAAAAGGCCAAAATGTCCCTTACTTAACGAACAAAAGTTAACTATCATTGGTGAGATGGACCAAAATCAAGCAAAAGTGCAAACTACGAAGACAAATTTAGAATAAACAAACTGTAGGGATGAAAATCAAAAAAGTTGACAAACCACAGGGACAAAAACTGCAATTTACTCTTATTATAGTGAACTATAAAAATTGTCCAATTTATAAAAACTCGGATTTTTGTCATCCAACTTTTGAAAGTATACGAGAGGTTGTGGTTTCTACTTTGTTATGGTTCTCATCTCTTGACCTACAGAATCTTCGTTTTAGTGGCTTCACGTGTCTTTCACGTCAAAGCATTTTGATCGTTCTTCTCCTTAAACGTGACATGACATTTCGGAGCAAAAAAGTAAGAACGTAATGAAAAACAAAATCCACACAAAATCAAAACAAAATAATAACGATTTTTTAATTAACCCAACATAAATCTATTAAAACCATGCACAAATTCACTATTTACATCAAAGATAACCATAAGTAAAAGCAAATACAGATCCGTAAAAACAGAACATTAAACAAGACAAAACATATTTTCTAAAAGGGAGTGGCTTCAAAACCCATAATGCTGAAAATGGTGGTGCAAAAGCTGCGATGGGGACATAGGAAGGGGTTGATTTACACATAGCTTCAATTACAATGTCTCACACACATATATGATAAAAATATCATTTTACGATACAAAATGAAAAATATCGAAAACAAACCGTCTTTGATGCACTTTGGAAAGTTTAAGATACAAAAATCTGGAGTTTTATATATATATATATATATATATATATATATATATATATATAAATTACACAAGTTCAACTCAATAAACGTAATAATTACACAATTCCAGCCTAACTTCCCAATCTATTATAAAGTTATGATAGTAAGGGTTCATTTACCCGATGTTTACCCGATAAGCGCTTACCGGTAATAACCAACACTTTAACTTAACTTATTGGCTAAGATTTTTGTACACTAAAATGACATCATATGCAACAACATACTATAGGATAGAAACCGCAATATCTACATAAGAATGGAAATTGCAATTTTTAACAAGTCATATGGACGAAAAACATAATTTACTCTAGATTTGGCACCAATCCGCATCGCAAACACCTTTGAATTGACGAAAGGGCTTTTGGCCTGGTGGTATCTCACATTTGACTTTCATGCTAGGTCAAAGTTCAAACATTATCAAATGTGAGAAGGGTGTGTAAGGGGTCATTTATCAACTGTTTAGCAAGTTACATTATCTTACCGAATGAATATAAAAAGAACAAAAAATCTTACTCGGTAAGTAAGAGCTACAACTCTTATCACAATTAACACTTACTTGGTAAATTGTTTTATATTATGTTGTTTTGATGGACTAAAAATTTACTCGATAAGTACTAGTAATGTTAAACTTTATCAATAAATAATTAGTGAACGATCCCTAAATATAAATTGTTAAATTTACTATGTACAAATATTGTATATAACATCTTTCAATTATCCATTTCTCTCACACTCATATATAAACTTCTCATACTTCGCATTATCATCTACAACGGCTTCTGAAATGTTTTTAGAAGTTCATGAAATGATTAAAATCTTCATTGTAATTAGTTTGTGGGATTTGAAATGAATTCCTTTACGTAATTACATAAACAACTAAAATATATTTTATTAATTAATTATTAAAAACCAAATTTTCCTATATATTTAAAACATAATTACAAATAAATCATATCCTATAAAATACCAGTTGCACCTATAAATTTTCTGAATTTAGTTTCGAACCTTTTATTTTAAATCAAACACAAAATTGAAATAAAATTTAATTATAAATCTACTATATGCAAACCCGTACACCCAAGCAAGGAGTTAAAATGTTTATTTTTCCTAGACTGGGTTTAGAGAGGGGTCCCCCCTGCCACTAACCTCCTAAAAAATCAAATTGTTCATGCCCTATGCCATATAATTCAAAACCAAGCCACACATGTAATGGAACAAAACAAAACTAAACCAAATTCTTTCAAGTAAAAAGGTAGGATGAGATCCATCGTTCAGTAATAGCTAACTGCTGCACCAAATACCAAAAGAGCCTCCACAATTGTGTTTTTAATCCCTTTAAAACAAAACAGAACAAAACAAAACCACCTAAACATTTAAATGAAGTTGATGATCATGATGATTGCAGCAGGTAGTCGCCCTCCCTCGCCTTTTCACCCCTCTCATTGCAATCCTTAAGCCTCTGCAAATCTGCAAAAGTAACCAACTTGGTAAATTTCAACACAAAATGCAAGGCACCAGGCTACTATATACATATGTTTCCATGAAATGGCAATATTACCCCAACTCAGAGAGTTTCATGTGGGAAACTGCATAATCAGCAAAGAAGGCATCCTCATCCTGATGATTTACAAGACAAAAAACAACTCTAACCAACCAAGTATTATAATAATATACAAATGAAGCAATTAGTGGACATGTACTCACAGCAGCATATTTCTCAACCAAGGGTCGGAATACAGGATCGGCAAGAAGAGCCTTGTCGGTAGGTAGCTTCAAGAGCCCTTCCTTCTCACCAGCAAGAAGTTCCCTGTTAATCCAACATATACTTAGAACCACTACTTTTGTATAAATTAGGAAAACATACATGGAATAACTTAATCTCACGTGAAGTAGCTGTTGTCAAAGATAAGAGGATTAGAAGTCCATGGTCCTTCAAAACCAGATCGCTCCTTGTGGGCAGCTCCCTACAAACAAACATATCATCACCATGAGTACAATAAAAGTTGCATTACAAATTTTCAGTTAAAGATAAAAACAAATGCAGTGACACCAACCAGAGTATGGCCACCAGAGAGGGTTACAATGTCCTTGTCATCAAGACCCATGGTCTCAACGAACACATTCCTCAGATGGTCATTTCCTGAAATAAGTACATACAAATAAGATACATTAATATCATCACACGTTATAACCTTCTAATACACATGATTAATTTCCAAATTTATCAATCTCACTAACCCTGGTTTGCATCAGGAAGACGCCCTTCAATTGGGGGCTCTTCTTTGTCCTGAGAAAATGTACAGATTTTGGTTAGTGAAAACAATAGTAACACTATAAATGGAAATGAAAACACTGAAAATATTAACATATCTAAAACTATCAGCCTTGCAAGCTAATGACACTATTTCCTGAAATAAATCATTGGGTTCTCCTTTCCCAAATAAGAAAATACAATCATTTCCAAAATAAAACAAAATCTATTAGCACATGACTACTAACCACTCTTCCGGGGTGGAAAGGAACATCTGGTCCTCCAGTAACTTCGACAGCAACAACACCAGCCAACTAAGTTGAAAAATTAAAGCACATCAGCAAGACAGCCCCAAAAGCCAACCATGATAAAAAGGAGTACGAGAAAAGCCTAAATTTTAAGATACCTGATAGAAGTCTCCATATGAGATGATGGGAAATTGTTCCTTAATAGGCTCCAGTAGCCTGACAGCAATGTCAAGACCATTGTTGGCAGCATGGCCTAGCTCAACCTTAAACCTCATGGTGCCGAAAGGACCTCCAGTTTTTGTCTTCACATCATATGTACCAGCAGAGTGCCATCTGTTGTCCAATATGAAAAATAAACCTTAACACATGTTCAAGAAGTTGGATATTTAACTAATCAACTGGTTGGCCCAAGTAACAAACAATCCAAAGTATGTTTGTAAAATTAAAAAAAAAATCATGATTCAATGAAACAAACCATGGTTACCACTTAATTGCAGCCAATAGTCAAAAGAAAAATGTTCATTAGATTAATACGATTTACAATACAATGAGAGAAGCCTAATCGGTGCCTGTTAGAAGTTGGTTTTTGAAAATTAAGCAAGATATGCGTTCTCCCATAAAAAAACATTTGCTATATAGACTGCCAAATCAAATCGCACAAAATTATCCTCAACAAGATTTCTAAATAACCATCAGAGACACGATCAACAACTGAATCAACAACACCTACATAAAAAATGATCATAAACCATATAAAAGGAAAGCAAATCTTACGCAAGACGGAGCATCAGCGGAGCACATTTCTTGTCAGCAATAAATCCTCTGAGCTTCCTCCTGGCTTTGTCAATAGCCTTGTTGTACTCCTCACTGACAGTTGGGTAGCACTTCCCCATGGAATCAAAACTTCAACCAGCAGTCAAGAAAACATAAGTTTTGATGGAATGAATCAAAAGTAATACCACGATCACGACAAAATACGCACAAGAAATGGCACACAACTCAAACGCCAATCAAACTCCAATCATTTCCAGGTATTAATACCTTTCATGAGCGAAAAAATCGTTTACTCGGCACAATAAGATATTATAAATTAAGCTAAACACAAACAACTCCAAATTTTGATATCGATCTAGTCAAAACATACAAAAACATTTACAGGTATTAAAATCGCACTACATCTACCAAGTCTCAAGTCCAAGCACGCAGATACAAGCAGAAGTAGACCCTGACTGATCACAATAGTAAAATTTAACAAACAAAACCATATTTATGCATAAAAACCCCAACGTACCAAATCCAACACAATCTGTAGTTCGATAAACAATGAAAAGCAAAGAATCAGACAAATCGGCGTTCAAAATCACGATTCGATCAAAGCTAGCAAATCAAACACATTTTATTTACATAACAGAAACATAGATCGGTGGGTAAACGGACTAACCTTTTCAAAATTCGGACGATAAGATAAAACTGAGAGCGACGATGAACCCTAGGAAGAGTGATGAGTGAGCACGAGGAACCCACAAGCCTGGCATTTTATAGGGGGATGCTTGGGAAGAAAAAGCGAAGGTTCCAGTATCTTTTTTCTGAGCCATTGGATCGGTGTAATCTGTAGTCAAGAATTATTCGACGTACAGGATTCATTTGGATGGGTTGGTGGAACTTGTGGAAAAATAGAAGGAAAACTTTTCATTCATTATGAGGCGTTATAATTAGTTTTACAAATTGACTAAAATACCCTTATCTGTTAATTTTCTATGTGCAGACATGATTTCGTTGGCGTCGTGCCGAGGCATGTATCCACCCACAAGAATATTACATAGAGTATTACAATAATCAATATATTTAATTTATTTATTTAAACATATCATATATCATCAATAAAAAAATATTTTATATGTTAAAATATCTAATATATTACAATCCTAAATTAAATTCATCAATTTTTTTATTAACTTGGATATTCAATCCCCGAAGCAACCGTATTTGAACCATTGTAGCCACAAAGAGATTTTTATTGTTTATAACTGATTACTACAAATTATATGGATGATAATGGATTTTTTCCAATTATTTTTAACATTTATTTTAATTACCTATTTAAAAATACTTGATATGATATTAAAAACCTTTTTTAGGTTTAAGATATCTGACTGTTTATTATTTTGAAAAAAATATATAACTTTTTAAACAATATCAATAATAATTAACTTATTTGCTATCTACGCTTGTGTGTGAAGCTCAGTTTGTAAATAACTGGAACGACTTTCTCAGATACATAATATGTTCAAGTGCGTTTCCTGCATATTCGTGTTTGAACCCCTATGCTAGCCTATATTGTTAAATTAACTCTAAGATGTCTTTTTATATATGGTTTCTAAGAGACGGTTTTAAATATAATTGTTATTTGAGATTTTAATTCAAACATAGTATTTAATTTGTGAAAAATATTGAGGAAGGGTAAATACGTCATTTACTTTCATGGTCGGGGGTTCTACGATTATTAAATTCTCCGTGACCGTGTGAACGCATACAATGGGCAGAAGATCCTTTCACTGTTTGACGTAGCAACACCACAAGAAAATTATGTCACAAGCCAATAAGAATAGAATACATGTGTCTGTGAGGATAGCAAAAGTAACCACACCCGTCAGAGTAAAGCTTTCCTATGCTTTTTGTGGACCACGAAATTTGACCAATAGGCTGAAGACACGTAGCCGAAAAAGATCACAGCCTCATAGGCGTATCAAATGGGCGGTTCGACTCGGCAAATATTTAGTCAAAATCCGGCCTCAAGCCCCGCTCAGTCCATAAAAAACACTGTAAATATATCTAGAGAGTTTATTTCAAATACAACTCATCGTATTTGTATAATTAATATAATCCAATAAATTGAGATATTTATGAAAATGATGAGAGTTCATTCATTATGATTTGAATATTTATGGAAGATGAATATGATTCATTAATTATGATCAATACTTTATATTAGGAAACAATCAAAACTTCTATGAAATCACATATTAATCAAATGAAATGGACGGTTGAGATTGAGTTGTATTGGTTGTACAAATGTCAAATGTTGTATAATAACCAACCTATATATATATATATATATATATATTATCTTTAAGTTTAAATTACAGGGGTTGGGTTCACGTGAGACCAAGGGTTTTTTGTGAGACATGTAAGATCAATCTATGTTCATTGATTAACTTTATAAGCTAATGGTCTAAGGTTTCACGGTGACAATTTTGTGATTATTGAGAAGYCTCATGACAATTTTATAATTATGAATGTTCAGATTGTAGATTTAATCCAAATATTGAGAATTGGTTTTACAGGTCTCACGAAAAACCTTTGGTCTCACATGATTCCAATTCTAAATTACAATACTATCAATTAGATTAATTATTATTATTTATTTAGAAGATGTTTTAATTTTATTGAAATAATTGAGATATATGTTATAATTTTTTCTAAAATACCGTATTAAGAATATTTTTAATAATTATAGTTTACAATTCTTTTTTACAATTGAATATAAGAAGTTATATTTAAAAAAAAAACTACAAACAAGTTTAACACTCAATTTTAAGATTAATTATCTATATTTATACTATATTATAAATCATTTGACAAAAACTCTTAAAACCATTTTTATACATAAATTATCATTTATTGATGCATATTACTTAAAATTCAATATTACAAGTAAATTGTGCGTAAGTACAACTTATTAAAGTTTCATGTTTGAATTCGTGTAACTAATTTCAGATAAATATAATCAAATACAGGATAAACATCTAATTTTAAAATACAAAAAATCTAAAATATAATTGGGATAATCATTGATTTCTAACATAATACTTAATTATTATCTTAATAAAAAATTATATTATTAAATCAAAAATAAAAAATGAATTAAAAAATACATAAAAAACGAAAAAATTTAAATAATTAGTTTGGTACTATATCAATATTTTAATTTTTTTTTTACGATATCTTCGTATTTAAAGTTTATTTAAAAGTAAAAACATTATCATTTACTCAAAGCAACATAAAATTGTATTATAACATCGACTGAGACAAAAAAACAAAATATTAAAATCGAGATGTATTTTGCTGCATTATACAAGTACCCTTCCATTATATTATAAAGTATTTGACAAAAACTCTTAAAAACAAACTGCAGATAAACATAGTCAAATACAATATAAGCATTTCATTTTAAATATAAAAAAACTAAAATATAATTAGTATAATCATTAAGTTGTAGCAGAATACTTAATTATTATCCTTTTAAAATTTATATTTTTAAATCAAAAATAAATTACTTCGTTATTCAATCTAAATTAAATTATAATAAAAAAATTGAATTAAATAAATTACAAAAAAAAATTAAATAGTTAATTTGATACTAATATCGATATATTTATTTTTAAAATTTTATAATAACTTTAAATTTATATTTTATTTAAAAATAAAAACATTATTATTTTTCTCAAAACCACATAAACCGTATTATAACATCTACTGAGACAGAATAAAATAAAAAATTAAAAAGTCGATATGTATATCGCTGCATTGCCCGGGTACTTTTCTAGTATTAATAAAATATTTATTATATTTAATAAAATATGATTCTCTTTTTTATACATTTAATTTCAATATATTTTACTAGTGAAAAAATAAAATATTATTTCAGTCTCTTCTATAAATTTATAGACATATCTTTAATTTAGAGATTTTCATTTAATGTTTTTTTTTTAATACACCTTCTACACATTGTTTGTGATACATAAGCTAACTCAATTTTGTTAGTATACGTTTTGGATTGACATAAACTTACCTATTAAATATTTATTATTGTTAATTATAAAACAATTATTAATTGTTAACAAAAATTAATTATTACTAATATTAATAAATTAATTAGTATTAATTGA